GGGGACGGGGAGTGGGGAAAGCTGTTGGGTTTGCTTGGGAAAGCAGGGTTTTGTCCCCTGCTTTTGGGTGCGCGCGATGATGTCGCCGGTTTGCCATCCAAGCCAGGATAGCAGGCACTTCACATGGACAGCAAAGCAACTTTGCTCGTACTAGATGGATGCCAATCGGCGACGCTTTGCTATTTCCTGGACAACCTAGTTTTTGTACTATATAGGAGGAGAAGAAATTAAATGTGTTGGGGGAGGTTGAATCTCGTCTTATTTTGCATGATGTTTATGCTCATTTTGTTGCTGTAGTTGTTGGTTGAAACTATCCTCAAAGTTTCAACACCATCAATGTAATATCAGAGCAAGGTTTATTTGTATTTTGCTAAAAAAATATATGGTGAAAGATGAAACTGAATACAAGCTGAAAGGTATCTTCGAATGGTGCAGATTATTAGATCTCAAAGGGCAAGATGGAGTGCTACGTTTCAAAAGTACTAGAAGCCCGTGTTCACCCTATGATGTCGTAGGGCATTAGTTAAGATCAGTGAAAAGCACTTCATCGCCAAGTTTCAATATTAATTCCTTGCGGATCTTGTTACTCTTGGGTGTTTGAGCACCCTAGACGGTTGAGGTCACCGCGGAGCCATATTCCATTGTGGTGAAGCTTCGGGGTGTCGTTGAGAGCCTACAATTAAGTTGTGGAGATAGCCTCAACCTTGTTTGTAAAGGTTCGGTCGTCGCCTTCAAGGGAACCAATAGTGGAATCACGGCATCTCGCATTGTGTGAGGGCGTGAGGAGAATACGATGGCCCTAGTGGCTTCTTGGGGAGCACTCTGCCTCCACACCGCTCCAACGGGGACGTACTTCCTCTCAAAGGGAAGGTACTTCGGTAACACATCCTTGTCTCCACCGTCTCTACTCTTGGTTATCTCTTACCTTTACTTGTGCAAGCTTACCTTGTGTTATATCCCTTGTTTGCTTGTGTGCTTGTTGTTGTTGCATCATATAGGTTGCTCACCTAGTTGCATATCTAGACAATCTATTTTGATGCTAACTTTAATTTGGTAAAGAAAAGTTAAAAATTGCTAGTTGCCTATTCATCCCCCCCTCTAGTCAACCATATCGATCCTTTCAGCAATCAAGAAAATTAAAAATCCACTTTCTTTACTATGAGTTACGCTTAAATTTAAAGTGAGGCCTTGCTGCTACTAAGCTCATTGTCGGACAACCGGGAGACCTTTAGCGCCATATTTTGCAATTCAGCGCCTAATGGAGTTTTCACTTGGAAATCATGAGATAAACTAGATTATCTCATGAATGTAACAAGGATACAAAATAAAGATTCTAGAAAGTTAGTTGAAGCTAGTTATTCCTCACATTAATAAGTGTTAGTCACTCAATCCAGGGGAGAAGCAAGAGCAGGTTTTCAAGTAAAGGAGCAGAAAGAGGCAGTAGCAAATTACGAGGAAAGTATGTTGATAATGAGTGTGATCAATGTCATGAAAAAGGACACATCAAGTGGCAATGTAAAAAGTGGAAGAAAGACAAAAAGAAAAACCATAGAGTGATAGCGAAACCATGGGAACTAAATCACTTCTGTAGTTGAGGACATCAAGCTTGTTATGCATAAAAAAAAATAAGGTCATGTGCTATTGAGTGGATCGTTATAGTCTCTAATGAAGTTGTGAACCTTGTGGATGGTGAAGATACTAAATGGTTATTAAACAACGGTAACCATTGACATGTCAAGATGAAGAATGGCCATAAGGGCCATATGTAGATGAACTTTGGCATTGGAAAAAGGGTTTTTGCTCCGAGCTTTTAGTTGTCGGTCGTTCTAGCTTTGAACGAGAAGTTGTCATGACTCAATGTGGCTCGACGGCTCATTCCAAGAATTTTGGACAACGTCCAAGAAGCCGGGCATCTTGATCAATAAATTTTCAAACTTGAAGAATCTAGGTTTCCTTGGCCCCTTGTTGCACGCTTGTGAGGAGGAGGGGGCAATGGATCTTCATTGCAAAGAAGATGCCAAGCTTGCTAATGGTTGGATTAACCCTTTCATTAGACCAAGTGAAGCAGTAGTATTGTAGGTGGATTTCCTTGAGCTCGTAGTAGTGTGAGGTGGATCTAAATCTATTAAGGCGGCTACAATTGATGTTGTAACTATGTAGGATGAGGAATCGACTAGAGGAGGGGTGAGTAGGATATTTGTAATTTTCTCCGAGATAGTAAATCTATCAACACAACACAAATAGAATAAAATGACTAAGGCAATTCTAAGCAGAGGAATAACAAAGGAAGGGATTGACTAGATGAAAAACAAAAAGGCACTACAACGAGATATCTATCATAACAAAAGCTAGTAGGGTAATTAGGTAGCAGTAGATGTAAAACATGAGAACATAGAGACACATCACATTGTGTACAATGAGATGGAAAACAAACACAAACATGATTGCGGCACAAATGTAAATGTTCTTCTATCTCAAAGGACTGAACACAGATAAACAACACAACAGGGATAACCCAACAAACTGTACATACCAAAAGTAATACAGAAAGAGAAAGAACCAGTGTTGCTCGATGGCGACAAGCTATTTGTTTGACCTGTTTACACTTATGCCAAAGTGCAACGTCTGGTTGGAGTGACGTGTGATTGAACACAGGAGCAAAACTCTCTCCATCTTATTCTCCTTAACTGTAAGTTCCTCGACCTCCGATCAATTTACTCGGGTAGATTCCTCAAGGCAATCTCCAAACCTTCATAGACAAAGTCCTTGGCACACCACAATAACTCTCAGTTGCTCAGCCTGATACCTAACTGTCTAGTGAGTGTGCAACTCACAAGAGTATTAGGCACAAGCTAAATCTAAACTTAGTTCTCTACAATTGTTCAATCACTTCACTTTGGGGTCTGGTTTTTACTCTAGGCGAAATATCTCAACAAAGGGGTTACTCAGACAAACTCTTGTCAATTCAAACGGAGCAGCCAACCAGTGAAGGTTGGGATGGGGTGCTATTTATAGCCGTAGTAATGACGAGGGTAAAATGACCAATAGGGGCCTACGCCACACAATGGTCAACCAACACGTGTCCAATGGGGGGATTTCAACTCACGTGACAACTTTACTTGAGAAACAAGTTGACTCGACTGCCCATGATTTTCTCTTGCAGCCCAGAAAACACATCGTCTCTGACTCCGAGTAAAAAACACAACACACTAAGAGACTTCTCTTGAGTTCACTGGGAGATTGGTTAATGATTGAACATTCAACAAAGACCTAAATCTCGACTATCTTGAACCTTCCTTAATAGTACAGTTGCCTTATGACTCAAACGAAAGTAATGAATTTATGAAAAGGACTACGTTAATTGTTCCTCGAACAACACACTAAACTAATTGCTCACACAATAATTTTTAGGGGTCGTCTCCGTCATGCAATCTTCTCAATAGCAAACTCCTTGTAATGCCCCAAGACCGATGTGCCAGGTGTCCTCCAGTTATTCGTTGTTGTTGCGTTGTCATTGCTTGCGTGTCATGCATTGCATATCATATCATCATGTGCATTTCATTTGCATACATGTTCGTCCCATGCATCCGAGCATTTTCCCCGTTGTTCGTTTTGCAATCCGGCGCTCCTATGTCACCCGGTGTCCCTTTCTACCTCTTTTCATGTGCGGGCATTAAACGTTTTTGGATTGGACCGAGACTTGTCATGCGGCCTTGGTTTACTACCGGTAGACCGCCTGTCAAGTTTCGCGCCATTTGGACTTCGTTTGATACTCCAACGGTTAACGGATGCTTTTCGAAGGTTGGGGTAGATGATTTCCGAAGGTTTCTTGGTTATGTGTTGAAGGATGGATACAGCTGGATGTAGGATTTGTTAGTTTTGGGTGAGATATTATGCTTCCCCTGTATCCCCAACACCTGATTGCATAACCGGAAAATTTCGGGAGTTTATAAGTGGGAATTCAAGTAGCTCTTAGGATATCTTTCCGATAGATGTGTGATATGAAATTGGGGTTCGCCGTCTAGTGGTCCGCCTATCCACGGTTGGTTTTACAGTGGTCTCATTGTGTCTTAAAGAGTCCTTGGCTATGCCGACTCGGGGACGCTTCGTATGTCATGTGCACTGCCTTGTACATGATTGTAACGCCCTCGATGCGGCTATATCTCCCACGTGTCGAAGCACGACTTAGAGGCATAACCGCATTGAAAGCAATGTCGCAAGTGAGGTAATCTTCACACAACCCATGTAATACATAAGGGAAAGAGATACATAGTTGGTTTACAATCGCCACTTCACACAATTACATGAATAAAGCATTACATCATCCAGATACAATAAAGGTCCGTCTACGGAACCAAAATAAAAGAAGAACCCCAAATGCGACAAAGGTCCCCGATCGACCCCAACTGGGCTCCACTACTGATCAACTAGAACGAAACAACACAAAGGGCAAGATCTTCATCGAGCTCCTCCTTGAGCTTGGTTGCGTCATCTGCACGGTAACATAGGCACCT